GATGCAGTTTGATTTAGACCAGGAGTCTCAAACTCGTGGCCCGCGGGCCATTTGCGGCCCGCGGGCCATTTGCGGCCCGCAAGATGATATTTTGCGGCCCACTACATGACAGCAAAGTTTAGTGTTAATACGGCCCGCGCATTTTCCCCATTCTCATACCTATAATGTGATCCTCCGCGATGGTTTCAGTTGAATCTCACAGACTAGTCTCATTATGAATTTTATTATGTTTCTATATATTTGTATATTGATTATAAGGGTAAGAACCATTTAAAAATTACGCATTAAAAGTTTATATTTTATATTATTTTATTAGACAAACATAGGCAAAGTGCGGGTTTGGGATTTTAAAAATTCAGTTGGTTTGTAATGTACAACCATAATTGTGTAATTTATAGCAATTGGATATAGTATCAAAGAATCCCTATTAAAATTCCCGCTTCTGTTATTCCAAGCCTTGGTCACTTTCAAAACAGGGTTAGTCAAATGGGCCTTTTCTAAGATAAACAAAAATAAAAATTCATTATCCCTACACTAGCTTCTTCCTTCGCATCAATAATTCATAAATATGGCCTGCTCCTGCCTACTGTTCAAACACGTTTTAGCATTTAATGGAGAAGGACAAGGTCGTTGTTCCTGTACTAAGTGATCCCAAACGGCTCATGGACTTGGCTTTTCTTGTTGACATTACACAGGAGCTGAATGTACTCAACAAGAAGTTACAAGACCAGGGGTGGCTTGTCAGTGTTGCCTATGACAATGTCAGGGCATTCTGCACAAAACTTGTGATAGGGTTCTTAGAGAAACCTCTGCCATTTCCCAACATGCGAAGTATTAATGGACTCAGGCACACCATTCAGTTGTAACTTAGTAGTAAGTATACTGATGCTATTGCAAAGCTACAGGAAGAATTTGATCACTTGTTTTAAACTTTAAAAAACACACAGCCACTTTTCAGCTTTTTGCCGACCCTTTCTCCTTTAATGTGGAAGATGCCTCGCCCGCCCCCATTTTTTGCGCTTTAAATGGAGCTGATTGATCTTCAGGTCAATTCTAAGTTCATGGAGCTGAATGGAAAAACAGACAAGCATGGACAATTTATGAAATCATTGCCCTCCACCTTCACTGAGATTTTTACGTTTTTGAAGCGGATCATATGGCTTTTTGAGAGTACCTATCTGTGTGAAAAGCTCTTTTCCACTATGAACTTTAACAAGTCAAAGTTAAGGGACAAACTTTCTGATAAGCATCTTCAAGCTATGCTGAGGGTTTCATTTGCCTTCTCACTCAACCCAAAGTTCCTCAGCTGTGTAGGAAGAAGCGCTGTCAGGTCTCTGGCAACAATGAGTAGGAGGATGAAAGTGAAGCCTAGTTCTTGAGAACCCTTTTGTTTTTGAGAACCCTTAATGCTTTTATTTGTTATTATAAAAATTGAGAAGATTGTAACACTTGTACTCTTGTGAATTTGTAAAGGTTTTTTTGTGGAATACTTGATGCGGCCCACTCTCGATCTGACTCTACCTCCTGCGGCCCCCGGATGATTTGAGTTTGAGACCCCTGATTTAGAGCAATGGTTCTCAAATCTTTTACACCCCCTGATCTATTGGGACTTAAACTCGTCCTTAGCGCCCCCCCCCCTTTTTCAGATTTACCCTGTTATCAACATAATTGAATATGGTAAGCAATACTTGGCATGACCCTTAAGTGAGATAGCACAATAAATAATACAATAGTTATTTATGATAAGACTAAATTCTAAATAGTTGCCTGTGAAAGATCCTTATCTTCAAGTGGTTCTACAAAATCCCGAACACAACAGTGAGGGAAATGACAGCACAAATTCTATTGGAGCAAGAAATCCGGAAAAGAAGGTGGAGATGGATGAGAAATAGCATGAGAAAAACAAGGCCAAATATAGCAAGATAAGCAATGGTATAAACTCATGCCAAATATAACAAGACAATCACTAGTATAAACACATGGCCAAATATAACAAGACATCACTAGTATAAACACATGGTCAAATATAACAAGACAATCACTAGTATAAACACGTGGCCAAATATAACAAGACAATCACTAGTATAAACACGTGGCCAAATATAACAAGACAATCACTAGTATAAACACATGGCCAAATATAACAAGACAATCACTAGTATAACACATGGCCAAATATAACAAGACAATCATTAGTATAAACACGTGGCCAAATATAACAAGACAATCACTAGTATAAACACATGGCCAAATATAACAAGACAATCACTAGTATAAACACATGGCCAAATATAACAAGACAATCACTAGTATAAACACGTGGCCAAATATAACAAGACAATCATTAGTATAAACACGTGGCCAAATATAACAAGACAATCATTAGTATAAACACGTGGCCAAATATAACAAGACAATCATTAGTATAAACACGTGGCCAAATATAACAAGACAATCACTAGTATAAACACGTGGCCAAATATAACAAGACAATCATTAGTATAAACACATGGCCAAATATAACAAGACAATCACTAGTATAAACACATGGCCAAATATAACAAGACAATCATTAGTATAAACACGTGGCCAAATATAACAAGACAATCATTAGTATAAACACGTGGCCAAATATAACAAGACAATCATTAGTATAAACACATGGCCAAATATAACAAGACAATCATTAGTATAAACACATGGCCAAATATAACAAGACAATCACTAGTATAAACACATGGCCAAATATAACAAGACAATCACTAGTATAAACACGTGGCCAAATATAACAAGACAATCACTAGTATAAACACGTGGCCAAATATAACAAGACAATCACTAGTATAAACACGTGGCCAAATATAACAAGACAATCATTAGTATAAACACGTGGCCAAATAGAACAAGACAATCACTAGTATAAACACGTGGCCAAATATAACAAGACAATAATTAGTATAAACACATGGCCAAATATAACAAGACAATCATTAGTATAAACACATGGCCAAATATAACAAGACAATCACTAGTATAAACACATGGCCAAATATAACAAGACAATCATTAGTATAAACACGTGGCCAAATATAACAAGACAATCATTAGTATAAACACATGGCCAAATATAACAAGACAATCATTAACATAACACATAGCAAGAGACCGTAGGGTTTGGAGAGGTACCCTATTTGTTAATAGCCTATGTTACACTGGGAGTTAAAAATGCAAAGGAGTAGCATGTTATGAACTTACTAACTGTCAACGCAGTTCAATGACTTCGTTACGTCTAGGGGCGATTATTAAACCAATCAATGATCTATATGACATATGTTTCTTTTTTTTTTTTTTTTTGAAAAAAACAACGTGTCTTCTTTCATCTGCTTTCTCTCTGCAACTCCATCACTACTACAAACGTAACAACGAACAACGTCATCTCTCATATGCAAATAGCCTACGTCACGAATACAAAGCACATAGCTACACAAGTAATCTCCACAAAATCCCGAATACAACAGTGAGGGAAATGACAGCACACATTCTACTGGAGCAAGAAATCCGGAAAAGAAGGTGGAGATGGATGAGAGATAGCATGAGAAAAACAAGGCCAAATATAGCAAGACAAGCAATTGCATAAACTCATGCCAAATATAACAAGACAATCACTAGTATAAACACATGGCCAAATAGCCTATAACAAGACAATCACTAGCATAAACACATGGCCAAATATAACAAGACAATCACTAGTATAAACACATGGCCAAATATAACAAGACAATCACTAGTATAAACACATGGCCAAATATAACAAGACAATCACTAGTATAAACACATGGCCAAATATAACAAGACAATCACTGGTATAAACACATGGCCAAATATAACAAGACAATCACTAGCATAAACACATGGCCAAATATAACAAGACAATCACTAGTATAAACAAATGGCCAAATAGCCTATAACAAGACACCCACAAAAACACGAACAAATCATTAACATACAAGAACATATAAAATCTCGACAATATCACATGTATTTTAAATTTAAAATACCGTTACAAAGGAAGAATTTTATTTTAAATTGTGTCACAGTCACAGTGAACCCCCACCACAAGCAGGCTATCGATTATGTCCCAGTCAACAACTTCCCTCAAACTCAAATAGGATGATGATTCTGTCACAGTCAACCCATACATCAAGCAGGCTCAGGATTGTATCCCATTCAACCCCTACATTAAAGCAGGCTATTGATTGTGTCCCGGTCAGCCTCTATTACAAGCAGGTTAATAATGATTGTGTCCCAGTCAACCCCTAACTCCAAGCAAGCCGATGACTGTGTCACAGTCAACCTTACCCAACTTCTCGAAAACAAAGAAATCATTCGAAAGATTTGAAAATATATATTTTTTTTTTAAATTCTAAAATACGTATGAAACAGCTTCTTTAATGACCTCCTTACAGTACTTGATACTGTGTAGTGAGCAGTGCCCAGTGCCTATGTTCTCATCAGTTTAATAACGATAGAGTCTAATTTCATCTAGCTTCACGTGTGAAATAGTTTAATTTTTCATAGCTGCCCTGACTTGTAGATTAATTAGTAACCCTAAAACGATGTTTTAAAAAGTATCGATTGACCACATTAGTCATTTTAAGCATTGGACCAAACTGATCAATTTATTTTTGATTCGCCTCCGCCTAGATTCCATTTCTAAATAAAGCTCAAGCGTTTTAAAAAATTGTGGTGGTTTATTTTAAAATGAACCTCTTTTGCTAGAAATAGGCTATACTATATGTATTTACATTACATAATTATCATAATAATTGTAAATTATTTATACTACACACTTATTTTTTAAAGTTAACGATTTTTTAAATCTTTTTGGTTTAAATTTAAAGCCGAAACAAGTAGCCAATAGAGAAACATATTGTTGTTTACATGTCGCCATGATACGCGACGTCACAAACACATGCTTTTTGGCTTGTTTACAACAACGCATTCTTGTGAAGAGTCGGCGAGACGGAGTTGAGAGTTGAAAACAGAAGAGAATAATATGGATAGAATTTCATGCATGCTTTAATTTCCAATCCTGAGTAATAAGAAAAGTGGAAATAATTTATTTTAATTGTGTTAGAGTTCAGGATCAAATTGGAGTTAGCCGTCATTTATTAATATTTTTAAAAATAAAAATCCAAATGACCGGCGACCTGGAACTGGGTATATTGATATTTAATATTTTAATTTTTTAGCTTATTGAAAATGTTTCACTTGGATTTCACTTGCACTTGTTTTATTTATTAAGTTCACTTATAAAGGGTTTAGACAAATGCGTAGGCTAGTTTATGTCTAAGTCAAATCTAACCTGTTTCAGTTTATTTTTCTCTGTTTCTAAAAAAAAGACTACTTATCTACTAAGGGGCCCGTCCATAAAGTACGTAAAGCTCCAGAGGGGGGAGGGGGTGTAAGAAAGTGTGACAGTTTGTAACAGGGGGGAGTTTGTAATTTTCAGGCAATGTGTGACTCACACATTTATTTTTTTTAAATTTATTTCTAATTTATTTTTTTAGTAAAATTTAATAGCTTTAAAAATAATTTTCCAAAATTTTGTGAAACATTTGAATTAGTTTTATGTCAAAATAACATGAAATGCGTATCTCCTGAATGTGTTGTTCACGATTCCTCTCGCTAGGAGCACTAGTATGCTGTTGTGAAGCCTTGTTTTATGTATAGCCTTGCCGAGATCAACAGGAGTTTTCAAAGTACAACTATATGATCTTTATTGTCCATCTTTGCAGACCAGCTTACTTGATCGAATTTGCAAAGTATGCCACTTATAATTTGCCTTCAACAATGTCGAAGAAACATGCAGGACAACACAGAGCTCGGGCTCGGGAGAATGTGTCAACCCAAACTGTTCCAGAATCAACTCAGATAAAACGCATTAGTCCTTTGAGAATCGCTGCTAGAAGGCAAAGGGAACTCATGGCAGTTATTGCCAGAAGAGAAAATGCACATTCAGAGGGTGTTGAGTGGCTAGATGAGGATGAAGTTGATCTGTCTGCAATTATCCTTCCAGGAAACGATGATGGTGAAAGATTGATACCAGCAGAGGCGTAGCGAGGGTATTTGGCGCCCGGGGACAAGATTCGCGCCCGGGGATAAGATCCATTTTAAAGCGCCCTTTTTTCTTTTTTTTCAACTCTCAAGCCCTTTATTTTCATCAATAAAATAATATCAAAACACATTTTGGCGCCCCTAACTAGCTGGCGCCCGGGGACATCTGTCCCCCACTGCCCACCCCTCGCTACGCCTCTGGATACCAGTTGTAACTATGGATTACACTTCACTTCACCATGGATGGATGATGTCCAGTGAATATTTTTTAATTAAACATAATTCACAGGACCATAATAAACAGATTCAATATAGCACAAGAGTTTGTCACATAATTTGTCAAGCTAGTCTTTTTTTTAGTCAAATTGTTTTGTTTCCTTTTTATTATTTAATCACTGGGTGAGGTCAAGTTTCGCTAATTTACTTCTTATCCTGTGTAAAAAGATTGCATAATCAGAAATTATCTAAAATCTGACCTCACCTTTTGTAAATGAAAAAGCAGCAGATAAATGATGTGTGTTATATAATTGTCTTGTCTAATTTTTTCATTTTTTGTTTTCAAATTCAATCTAGATTGAGTTACTGCTTCAATGAATAACTGTGACAACTGTTGACAATTAACTATCCTACTATTAAAGTAATTTTAATAATGTGATAGACTAATCTGATAGTTCTTTTAGGTGGAAAATTTTTATTTTAATACAGTTTAATAGTGAAGTGTGTTTTAGATTAAATTTTAATTAGGTGTTAATTTTTTTTAAAAATTGTTTGAAAGTGTGACATACTTTAGGGGGGAGGGGGGGGGTTTCCAAGATTTGTGACAGGGGGGATGGGGGGGTAGAAATGGTAAAAAATAGCCTGATGTACTTTATGGACGACCCCTAAGTAGTCTACTTATATAAGTCTGCTTAGACATACTTTAGGGGGGAGGGGGGGGGTTTCCAAGATTTGTGACAGGGGGGAGGGGGGGGTAAAAATGGTAAAAAATAGCCTGATGTACTTTATGGACGACCCCTAAGTAGTCTACTTATATAAGTCTGCTTAGACTATTTTATTGACTGATATATACAGTATAATATTTAATAATATGTTAACAATTATTTCAATACTTTATTATTGATTATAGACTTATTTATGACATATTTATAGTCAGTAGGTTATAAACAGTGGGCTTATAGTATAGTATAATGAGTGGATATAAGAAGCTCAACAATTAACATTTGATTAATTTTCAATGTCAATAATTTGCTTCAATCAAGACTACTGCCATTGCCAAATATTGTATCATCAAAGACAAAAATACTCACATCATAAAATTAAAACTAGCTCTTTGCCGATGCAAGCACATAGCTTATTTAATGTTATATTAGGATATCAATAAGTAAGAAGATAAGCATTTATATTAAAAAATTTAAACATTTTGTCACTGTTAAAATTATTTTTATTTTGTATTATGGACACAAAATTTAATTAAAAAACTGTCATTGAACACCTGCTTAATATTAAATGGCCGCCTTAATAGAAGGCTTTTTTAAAAAACTGTTGGTTAGTCAATCTGGATCTGATGTTGATAATATGGGTTGTTGAAGCTTTGATACTGCATTACATTTTTATTTTCTACCAGTGTTGATTGGATTGATGGATTGTTGATTTTTTTCTTCATTTAATTAATCACAAATGTTCTGTTTGTATCAACAGATTAAATTATAACTTCATTGAATGAAATGTCTCAGAAACAGTAATCAACTGAAACTTTGATTTCACCGAAAAAGTTTTGCAAATTTGAATTCAATCATCAAAGGTGTATTTCCATAATGGGATGTTCTTCATCTGTCATCACCCCAACAGAGGGACATACCAAGGCAAATGACATAAAAACTATTTCTCCAATTCGTGACAAGCAAAATGGCCACGCTAAAGTGACACAAAATAATGCTGACATTTTTACCAAGAAAAAGATTCCAGATATCGACAAAAATTCGAATAAAATAACTGCATTAGATCAGAAGCCAGGTAGATTTTGTTTAAACATATTTTAATTTGTAATTTTTCTTCCCCTTATTAAATAAGTGTACAAATTTCATTTTGGCTTGAGTATTAAAATTAATTTTATCCATTGCCAGTTTTGGTTAAATTAAGATACATAGAATGTATGTGCAAGCAATTACTTAATCCCTTTCTATATATCTTGATAAAGGAAAAAATGAAATGTATCTATTTCCCCCATAGCAAGGCATATGAGATCTTGAATTGCCAAAGTCTGAAAATTATTCTTTTCACTGCTTCAGTTCCTAAAAGTGTTGCTTTTGAGATTACATTAGATGGTCAAAGTGTGGATGGTTTATTCAGAAAGCTACCCCCAAAAAGACTTCAGGTAGGTCTTAAAAGACGTTGAATTAATAGTTGATATTTCAAAAATTTGACCTTCATTGTAATGTTCAATTTTTGTTGCATTTGCAAAGTGGTTAAGAGATAATTTATAAAACATAAATGAATAGCACTTAATAAATAACGAAAGATTATTTACTCTTAATTAAACAACAAAATTCATAGGTGAGATAAAATTGTGCAGTAGTTCTCCATCTGCTGTAAAGTGGTGCTGTATCTGCTTTGTACTTCCTGTCTGTTTTTTCATCTTAATTTGAACATTTTTGTTTCCACAGAAGCCACACATTAATTGCAAACTATAATTGCGGGTACCACAGGACCTTTGTTTATCAAAGAATAATCATTTCACTTGTTACAATTCAGTGAAAGGCCAATATGTATCATAAATCAATCATTTCACTAGTGGCAATCAAGGAATAGGCCAATTATGTCTTGATAAAATAGAGAATCTGTTACACTCTTCAAAACTATCTATTTGGTGGTGGTTACTCTTAGTTTGTAACATTGTCTGCACAAAGCGATTCCCTGAAAATTGCTGTCATCATGATCAGATTAAAAGCACTGAAGTTCCACGGTTGATATAAAATTATTTGCGGAAATTTAAAGGAAGTAAAAATCACTACTAGTTTTTAAAAAAAGGATTAAATATTATTATATCATTTGGTTTGTCATCAGGGATGTGGGGCATATGCAACTTTGCCAGACAATTTTGAACTAGAGCCATATTTTTAGAGTACATTCCATAGAAAGTTCATTTTCTAAATACAATATGTTATTTTACTCGGAACTAATTTCATTGAATAATTAATATTAACTATCTAACTGCTCATATAAAACTGCTATATTGATCTTACAGACACTAGAGCCATTGAACTTGCCAAAGTTAACAGCAGAGCAACTCTCAGAAAAACAGAGGCTTGCAGATGAAAAAAGAGAAAGGGTAAATATTTCAAATGAGATTAAGACTTTTCTATCAGATTATCTGTGTTAATATTAACAACCTGTTGAACTGATGAAGTAAAATCATGAACACCTAGTTAAGTTTAGTTTTAAAAATGTATTATTATGAATGTATTTCATGAAACATTTTTGAAGTATTTAAACTATGTGACAAAGAAACATGTCTTAAAAGATCTATTTAGATTTGAGAAAAGTATATTTTTGGATTGCTTTAAAAATAGAAATTCTAAAAAAAATATTCAATTTAAATTTAATGATTTCTTTAAATTGTGTTGACTACATTTCTTTCACTCCTCGTATAGTCACACTTTGACTTAAAATCATTACTCCGCCTTATAGCAAGACCTTTTAATCATTATGCATATCATACTCCATGGGGGGGGGGGGTGTCCTAAGAAGTTGTGACAGTTTGTGACGGGGGTTTAAGATCATTTATAAAATCATTGCTCCTGCTTATAGCAAGACCTTTTAATCATTATGCCTATTATTCTCCATTGGGGGGGGGGTGTCCTAAGAAGTTGTGACAGTTTGTGACGGGGGTTTAAGATCATTTCTGATGTCACATGCTTTTTATAGTTTGTATTTTTCATCATACATATAAAACCTGAAATTGACAGTGATGTTTAACTTGCTGTTCTTCTGGATGTATTCTGACAATTTGTCTGTTTAATAAATTTAATCGTTAAATTGTTAAGTGTGTTTTAAATTAAATTTAAATTAGTTTTTAATTTTTTTTAACAAAATTTAGTTCAAAAGTGTGATGTAATTTAAGGGAGGGGGGGTTCTGAGATTTATGACAGATTGTTACTGGGGGTGGGGGGTAAAATTGTCCAAAAATATTGTGACATACTTTATGGACAGTTGCTTACTACTCTTAATCATGGTAAAATGGGGTGCCCTGTTTATATGATAATATATGGGGAACTACATTCAAGGCATGTATATTAAATAAATGGTGGAGCAAGATGTGTTCAGGCTTGAAAAAAAGACAGGAAAATTGACGTTTTTGGCTAAATGCTGACAATACAAAACAAGAAAATAAAATTATTTGAAATTAAAAGACTGCTGAAGAAGACATCCTTTTAATAGTTCTGTCTTTTTTCTCAAGCAAAATCATATCTTGCTTCGCTATTTATCTATTTTTATCTGATGGTCACAACAAATGTTACTAAGCCCCAACATAATTTAAGATTGGAAAATACCAGACAAACCTTTAGAGAATTAAATTAATACTTGCTTATTTAATATTTTTAGCTATAAATTAGTGTGTTAAGACAGCAAAACATCATTTGTAACATTTAAAGAATTTTTATAAAAGATCTATTCCAGATCTGATTGATTGTTCTTTTTACTTTAAATTGGCAAAACAGAGCACACATATTATTTCTATTGTAAGAGTGAACATTCTTCAAGAACATTTTTAAAAGGCCCTATTCAATGTGTTTGTATAATCATAAAATCTTGCTCTACAAAAAAATGGGAGACTAATTGTGACAAAAGAAAACCTCTGAGTCTCATGTTAATACTAATTTCAGACCAGAGTTACATTATTCTGCTTCATTAATAAATTTAGTTTCTTCTATAATTTCCTAGAATATACAGTTACTTCTACATTATTTAAATATTTATTTTACTTTTAGTTGAAAGAGAAAAAAATTAACACATCACAGAAGTCCTCAAAACGGAGACGTGAGTTACTAAAAGCAAAAGAGTTTAGCATGAAACAGCAAATGGAACAAGAAAAGGTATTGTCACATCCAAGAGCATTATGGATGGGCTCACACATTCTTATGGTTTAATTAATAGTCAATTTAGTGGTTTAATTAATAGTCAACTTATGTCATACAAGCCTACCGGTAACATTTCATAACTTTACATTCAATTATTACAGTCTGTCATTGATGACCAACTAAAACAGGCGGAACTGAAGAGAGAAATGAAACTGCTAGAAATTAAAGAAAAGCAGAGGCTGCGAGAAGAGAGAGCCAAAAGAGCAAGAGAGAGAGTAAGTAAATATTTGTCCCCACTTGTGCACCTTGAGGTTTCACGGAATAATTTGATATGAAGTGGTATTGGAAAGTTCCAAACTCAAGAATCGTCAAAAGAAATTTCAGGCCATGCTTATTTAAAGTTTGGCTGCTATTAAGTGCTATCTCCTTCAACATAATCAGCAATCCAGGCTAAGGTCTGATGAAGCATTTTGAGAGGGTCTCTGATATTAAAAATCTCAGTGCTTTAGTTTAAGACAAAAGTTAATGCAAGTACATTTTCTGATTGTCAGCCATAATAAAATGGGCAGTCCTAACACATGGTTAAAAAAACACTTGTAACTAGTAATTGCATGTAGCAAGATTGAAATAACTTATAAAGGGTTGTTAAGGGGTTGAACAATTTTTTAAGAAATGTATTTTCACTTAGCCTTTTATTAACCAAGCAATAGAAATGCATTTATCAGCAACATAAGGAATAATAATGGGGCAACATATCTGTAGAAGAATGGGGCAATATAACTAATAGAAAAGTAGGGCAACATAGCTAGTAGAAAAGTTGAGCAACATAGCTGTAGAAGAGTGGAGCAACATAGTTGGTTGAAGAGTGGGAACAACATAGAAGGTTAGAAGAGTGGTGCAACATAGCTGGTAAAAGAGTGGGGACAAAAATAGCTGGTAGAAGAGTGGGAAAAACATAGTTATAGAAGAGTGGGGCAACATAGTTGGTAGAAAAGTGAAGCAACATACCTTGTAGAAGAGTTGGGAAACATAGATGGTAGAATAGCCAGGAAAGATATCTGGTAGAAGAGTGGTACAACATAGCTGTTGAAGAGTGGGGCAAAATAGCTGGTAGAAGAGTGGGGAAACATAGTTGTAGAAGAGTAATGCAGCATATGCAGCTGCTATGATAAGGCCACCAGTGCAGTCTTCTTCAATAATAACACCGGAGAATGGGTCAAGACCGCGTTTGAAGTACGACAAGGCTGCTTGCTCTCCCCCACCCTGTTCAACATCTTCTTGGAGAGAATTATGTCAGATGCACTGGAAGGGCATGTAGGGACAGTCAACATTGGTGGCAGAACAATCAGCAACCTACGTTTTGTGGATGACATTGATGGACTGGCTGGAAACAAAGAAGAGCTAGCCAACCTACTAAAGCATCTCGACAAAAATTTATTGTCCTTTGGCATGCAAATCAGTGCAGAAAAGACAAAATTGATGACGAATAGCTCCACCGGCATCTCCACTGAAATTAAGGTGGGGAGGAAAGATCAGAGACAGTAGGTAGTTTCAAATACCTAAAAGCAATAGTCTCGGAAGAAGGGCCCAAGCCTGAATTGATGTCCAGGATTGCCCAGACCACAACAGCTCTAAAGAGGCTTAAGAAAAGATGGAATTACAAAAATGTAGCCACCAGCACCAAAATCAGGCTGATGCGCTAATTAGTCCTCTCCATTTTCTTTTATGCCTGTGAGTCCTGGACATTAACATCAGAGCTTCAAAAAAAAATAAAGGCGATGGAGATAAGAAGTTTCAGAAGCATTCTTGTAATCTACTGTAGAGATCATATCTCTAACATACAAGTGAAAGAAAGGATTTGTCATGCAACTGGGCAGTATGATGACCTCCTGGTGACTAAAAAAAGTGCAAACTGGAATGGTCTGGCCACGTGATAAGAAAACAAGGGCTTGCCAAAGAAATCATGCTGGGCACAATGAGAGGAGGGAGAAGAAGAGGAAGACAGAGAAAAAGATGAGAAGATAACATCAAAGAGTGGACGGGACTAAAACTAGGCGATGCTGTGCGAAGTGCAGAAAATTGGGAGAAATGGAGAAGGATAGTTTTCATGTCATCTGTGGCACCCCAACGGTGAGTGGGGTGACATAGCTGGTAGAAGAGTGGGGACAACAGAGCTGTAGAAGAGCGGGAGAAGCATAACTGTTAGAAAAGGGGGACTCTAATTTTAATAAATTATTTTTTTTAAAAATTAATTATGTAACTGCATAGCCACCAGATGATGGAGCATGTGTTTTTGTTTTTTGACACGCTTTTAACCCTGCTCGCAGTGCCAAAAACTGTAGCCGAGGGGTGATCTGATATAGCTGACACTTTAAAATATATGTATATATGTTTGGTAGATATAAACTCAAGAAAATTTAGGCCTTGAGGGCTATAGCCTTCATTTAGTTCTATTATTGTTGCATAAAGGGAGTGGTAAATCATAAGTAAAATTGTTAGAAAAACATTTATAAAAAGTCAAAATCCCGTACTAAACCCCTGAAGACTAATCTGTGTCTGTTAACATTTTGTCTTGGCTATCTAAGATACACTTATATTTGTATATGATTATATGTTAAATGATCTTTGAGATATTTTAAATGGAAGGCATTGGGACCCCCCATGGATGAATGTGAAAACTCCCTTAATTACTTAATTTTATAATATCCTCAAAAGATGTAGGCTTGCAAATATACCTAGGTTTAGAGAATAAAATCCCCTTTCCGACAATATATTATTTATAGCAGCATAATACAGTACCCTAGGGTTCCCAAGAAATAAATTATTGAACTATTATCAAAAAAGCACAAAAAGGATTTCCTATATTTAAGTATTCTAAGCGGTGTGGGAGAAGCCATTCATGCCACATGTTGTAATAGCCTAACGCAGAGGTCAAATTCCATGACAGTGTTGGGTGGTGAACTCCGTTTCATAAAAACGGGGCCTACAATGCCACAAAAAAATTTAAATGTTGGAGTTTGGAGCAGTAAGAAATTTAATCCGCTCTGTTGCTTCCAACTCCAAACTCCACTCCAAATCCCTTCCTTTGAATGTCTTTTTTATCAATTTTTTAAAATGACAATTTCTGACATTGCTATCTTCATTTGTAGAATTTCTGCTGAAAATAAATCTGGTACTTTTACCTTATCAAAAGTAGGTTGAATGTCAGGTAGCTGAACTGGAGCCAGCATGTTCAGTATCAGTATTTCCTAAAATATTAAGCCCACTTTTTTTACAGGTCATCTATGTTAGTTCTTATTTTCCCATTTATTTCTTAAACTGAACTGTTTTGTTGTACAGATCACAGGTTCCCAACCTGAGTTACGCCCCATTTTATAGAAGCACAGTTGACCACAGCTCAGATACATTTAAAAATGTATTTTTAATACTAATTAATTAGAAACACATAAAAAAATACATTTTTAAGTACCAGTATAGTATAAATTATTTTCACACTGAACTGATTGGTATGTTTCCAATGGGGAGAGAGTTTAATTGAATCATATATTCATATATAAATAATATGCCTCAAATATTTAGAGAGAGAGAGAGAGAAAATGTGTAAGGGGGCCTATATTTTCACTGCTTATAGGTGTCAGTCAGATACTTAATTGTCAGCCTTATAGAGGTGTGCACACAATGCTTTTAAAATCTTTTTTTTTACAGTTAGAGGATATTACCATTACTGTTCTAAATAACTGAAAAAAATTAAATTAAGATACATTGTTTAGTCAATAAACGTTTTAAGGTAAACACAATTAAAATTACTGAAGATTTTGTTTTTCCACAGGCTAAAAACATTCAGAACAATACAAATACTGAAGAAGTAGAGATGGAAAAGGATGAAGATTTTAATGCAGGAGAAAGTGATGGTAAGTTAACTGATCAAGCTGCTAAAATTAACTTTCCTGATTTCTATTAACTTTGGTTGTGAACTCCACGGTTGTGGCATTATGCAAGGAATATCACAACTGCTGTAGGATGGAGGTCATGGTTTTAAAACAGATTCCAATCTCTCTGGTTTCCAGGGATGGGGGTATCACTATAAGAAGTGTCATCTTAATTAAAACTAAAAATAAAAGTTAGCCAATTATCTGCAGTTGAGGCTCATGATATAGAAAATGAGGCTATCCCTGGAAGTCTGTTTTTCTGGCACATCAAATCTGATTGAGCATTATTTTGTCAAGAGACAATTTTTTTTTTTATTATTGTCAGTATTAATTGATAAGTTGACTGCCAGAACTGGCTATATAACGTTTTAAACAATTTTCATTTGCCTTAATTTTAAGACAGGATCCATATTCTATGACTTTATGAGTGTTATAGACAAAAATCAGGAAATCTGCCCGCCACAACCTATAATAATAAAAAAATTAATATGACTGTTTTGTATTTTTCTCAAATCTTTGTCAGGGTTTATTTGTTTCACCCAATTTACTTGAATGTGTGACATTAAAATGGTTAATTTCTTAATATGAATAAGTTTTCTTTTATCTGTTAAGATTAAGATAGCCCAAAAATGGTGTTTAGTTTAATCCTGTTATATTTTTATTGGTTTCTCTGCATATTTCAATTTTTAATGGAGTTAAAAGAAAATTGTTTTGTGATTAGTGTGGGAACAAGAATACAGGAAGTATGTTTGAATAATATGAATACAGAGATAGGAAAAAGGACAGTGATAATAAACACATCTTAGTGTGCATATTTTAGAATTAAAATAAAGCCTAATAATATACTAATACTGACAGTCATCATTTTTTTAAAACTGTACCAGTACCACTGACAAAATTAGGGATTTTTACAGGGTAAGTGAAAGAAAACACACTATATACATACTACATATTTGTGGGTGTCATTTAATTAAACTTAAACAAATGATATTTTAATTAATTAATGTTTGTGTTAATGAAGTGCTATCCTCTGTCAACATTTAAGGATAATCATAATTCACTCTTGCAGAGCTCCGTAGAAGTAGAAGCCTTACGTATATTATATAATATATTATGTGATAGCACATTTGAATATCTACTTGGTGACAAGATTGGTGAAATGTAGATTTATTGTCATACTTTTTGAAATTACAGATTCTTGGCTAGGAAATCCTGGTGATAATAATGAAGAAATGGAGGAAGAAGCTGGACTAAAGAAACAAGTCAGGCAGGTGCGCCCAACAGTCAGTGCCAGCACTGTTGACAGTTATGATGCAGCCTTTATGCGTAAAAATAATCAGACAGAGAGACAGCTTATTAATCAGAATGATGACGACTTCTTTGGATCCTGACTTAATTGATGACACTGCCATTTGTCTCTCATCACCATAAGAAGTGTCATCTTAAATCTACCTGACATTAACAGTACCGGTATACTTGTGGGAAAGTGATGGAGTTATATTAACTTATATAAACTCAATCTCCTATCATTATAATATAAGGTTAACGGGGTAAAATCATGTCATTCAAATGTAAATAATTTTTTCCAATTGAATTATGTTGTTATCACCTGCACATTTTGATGGTGTAATGCTTTCATGAATTCATAAGTTGCAAATCTTTTTTGAATGACTTGTTTATGTGAAGAGGATTTTGTCAAAAATAGGTTTATTGTTGTGTACTGCAGGGGTCTCAAACTCACGGCCCATGGGCCATTTGCTGCCCACTAGACGATATTTTGCGGCCCGCTACATGACAGTTTTAGTGTTAATGGGGCCAATGCGTTTTCCCATTCTCACATCTTTAAGTATTATGTGACAACCACGAAAAGTTTCAGTCAAAGTTAACCGACTAGTCTAATTCCGATTTTTATTATATTTGTATAGATTTGGACGTTGATTATAATGGTAAAGACCATTTTAAAATCGGACTAAAAGGTTTTATTTTATAGCGTTAAATGAGAAAAACATGGCCGAAGTATAGTTATTAGAATTAAAACATCAATTAGTGGGCAATGCACAACCATAATGGTGTCAATCATAGCAATCGGATACAGTATCAAAGAATGCCCATTAAAATTGCCGCTAGTGTTTAGGAGTGAGGGAAATGCTGAGCCTTTCAGCTTGGTCACTTTTAAAATAGGTTAGTTAAAAAGGCCTTTTCTAAGATAAAAAATCAAAATTCATTCTCCCTATAATTTACAATAGCATCTTCCTTTGCATCAATAAATATTTCCTGCTCCTGCACATTTTAGCATTTAAAGCCTTCATGGAGAAGTATGGGTTGGTTGTTTCTTTACTGGCATGGGTTCGTCACAAGTGACAATGGTGAAGACTTCCAAAGACGAAATCCACAAGGCCTGGGATTATAAGCTGGTTACCAACAGCAGAATGCTTCTCTCCGCGCCACTAGATAATCCAAGGGAACATCAAGTTTCTGTACTAAGTAAACCCAAATAGCTCATCGACTTGGCTTTTCTTGTTGACATTACAGGGAGCTGAATTTACTCAACAAGAAGTTACAAGACCAGGGGTAGCTTGTCAGTGTTGCCTATGACAATATCAGGGCATTCTGCACAAGTGGGTTCTAACCATTTCCCAACATGCAAAGTACTCATGCACATCATTCACCGCAAAGACAAGCAAAGCATGGACAATTTTTAAGAGCATTGGCCTCCACCTTCCCCGATATATTCATGTTGTTCAAGAGGATCATGTGCCTTCTTTGTCAGTACCTATCTGTGTGAAAAGCTCTTTCCCCACTATGAAATTTAACAAGTCAAAGTTCAGGGCCAATAAGCTAAGACCTATCTAATATGCCTTAACAGCAATAGGAGTATTGTTCATAAGTCACAGAGAACGCTCAGTGTGATTTGAAAAACATTTTATTATGCAAATTTAGCCCATATACCTGTATAAAAGAAATCTATAACCGCTGTTTTATGTAATTCCATTTATGAAGTGTGTTGTCTGCACTGGGTTCATGTTCTTCTGTGTTGAATTGTAGAATGTGAAAATGTTATTTAATTTGTAAATGGGAACATTAAGTGTAGTTGATTGAGAAATAAGCCTTGTCCAGCTTTAGAGTTGATAGAACCCATTGCAAGCCTTTTTAAAACAATTTTTCCCTCCTTCTAAAGCTCAATGACATAAATGAAACTTCAAACCCTAAAAGAAAATAATTTTACATTAAATATAAGTTGTTGCTGTTCAAGACTTTATCTTTGTAATAAATATTTTGTTTCTTTCTTCTTTAAAAAGAGTTGATGTTTTAAAATGTATTTCATCTTTCTATTTGGTCGTAAGCTTATTTTTGTATGAAGACTTTTAGGGGTAGAATAATTACATTACACATCAAAGGATTAAATTTACTGCTCCGTTGAAAATGTGATGAAGATGATCTTGTTTTTTGTTTTGACAAAAAACATTACTTTGAGATGTAACTAATTTATGTCAAGTTTAATTTTTAAAATCTCTAATTAGTCTAATACAAACAACTAATATAATAATACACTTCCAAATATATGTAGCCGAGTGGTGACAAATGTTCCCTCTAAGGTTTGTTGGTTCGTGTGCAAAATCATAAAGTTGTGTGCAAAGTTATACAGCATCCATTTTTTTGTGTGCAAAATTGTACAGCCCACAAATACAAACACACACTTACATGGAAATTTGCTGTGCGGACACTCACAACTGCTGCATGGCATCTGTGAGATAGCTGCGCGGCATCGCAGCTGTGCAGCTTAAAGGGAACGTTGGTGGTGACGTGGCTTACAGTTTAAATAAAATCACAAACAATGAAACAGGTCTGAGGACTATAGCTTTTTATTTTTCAAGTACAATCCGTTGACAGTCAAATCTCTCACACATTAAACCAACCCGACGTATCCGTCCTCACACAAAAATCTCATGATGTACACACCCTAAGTCCCAGTTTGCCTCCCTTCCGGGTTAAATTTAAACCCCTGCCTTATATAGCACACAGTTACAGGGAACCCGCATCATGAGCTGATCATGCGTCAATGCCAGCGCAGGATTGGTTATTCCCACATGTAAATAACCAAACATAAAATTTAAAGTCAGTACACAGCTGTGTGTTTCTTTAAGTGACCATGGATGTGTACATGCTTGTGGTTACCCACAGCAGTCACACTATGACTATGAGAGTGGATTCTCTTATTCCTATCTGTGGCATACTGCCGCATATAAAATGTTACCTAAATGCAGTTGCAAATAGTGGCACATTGCCACATCTAGACTTAACTTAGGATGTTGTGTTTTTTACTAAAAAATTTTGGGATTACATATGGTAAAAAATACACATTTTGTCAAGTTGAAATAACTTAATCTAAGAAGTGAATATATTATAACATTGTTGCAATATATTTTTAGCTAAAATAACAGTAGTGGAAAAAAAAAATTATAATTTTGTTTCATTTTAAATAGTTTTAAACATTTTGAATATTTTAACAGCTAGAATGGCTATAGGGTGGATACTTTGAAAAATATTTAACTTCTAGAATAAATGTAGGATCCATACTAAAATGTTATATTAGGAAGTTCACTGATTTTTATAGCTTGATAGTTACTCAAGACTATAAATAAATGAATCAATAATTGAAGTTAGGATTATTCAACAATTAAAATTTGGTAATTTATTAACTTTTGCTAATTGGAGGAATCCATATATAAACAAACCTTATGTAAACATAAAATTTACTTGGTCCCCCTTTCAAAAAATTTTATTCAGTGAACTCGATAACAAAATCAATATTATATTTTTTTTTAAATTAACAAACAGTGGGTAAAGCACAAAATGTTATTTCCGGTTTGTTCGGACTGATAAAATAAATTTCTGACTTCCATTATCATTTTCCTTTTTACAACTTTAAGAATTATTTTATAATCATGTATGAATATGCCATAAAATGAAAGCAGGAAATGTTCTCTTTCAATAACATGGTCACACTTTTTATCATACATTAATCAATTTAATTTGATTCAATGTTGAAAACAGTTAAATTATAATAAATCAAACTCCATTAACAATTATTGTTGATTTTATAGTCAATTATTTATATCAAGTTTATTCAAATCCATTCAGCCAGTGTCTCATACTCAGTTTCAACATTAATGAGAAGATAATTAATGTAATGCCACCATGATAATGGTAATAAATTATAGATTTTATCATATAAACAATTGTATTTTTTAAATTTAAGATATCATGACCATTATCTAACAGTTATTAAAAAAAAGCTCTTTTCTGCATTTCTATTCTTGCCACTAGAATTATTCAAGACTAGTACTTTGCTGTCCTTCGAGTGAAAAATGTATGCAATCTTATAATTGGTGTTGTGGCAATCTTACAGCTGGTGTTGTGGCAATCTTACAGCTGGTGTTGTGGCAATCTTACAACTGGTGTTGTGGCAATCTTACAACTGGTGTTGTGGCAATCTTACAAGTGGTGTTGTGGCAATCTTACAACCTGTGTTGTGGCAATCTTACAACTGGTGTTGTGGCAATCTTATAACTGGTGTTGTGGCAATCTTATAACTGGTGTTGTGGCAGTGGCTTGGTTGTTTGTTTTGTTTTCGTTTATTTTTTAATTATTAACTCCATTTTCATATGAGCAAAGAAAGTTGTACATATCGTCTTTTTTAAATAAAAGAAAAAAGTGTATATAAAAGAAATGCAACACTTCAGAAGATCCATTATAAGTTTTACATATTTATATGCTTGGATGATCTGTTAGTTTGTATTTTTGTTAGAACTTGGTCTTCCCTATATATTCTGTATTGGTTATGAAGTTGCATTACTTGTGTTATACTATTGGAAACCTATTTAATTACTATACAAACGGAGAGACAGAGTTTAGATTGTCCGTCTGCCATGCTCTATCATGTAAAGCTGTATTTAATAGTCTGTAACTGGGTTTGGTCTCTCATTTTTATATGCAAAGAAAGTTAGAATCATTTAATGTAAATATTGTATACCACCAAATTTACTGGGGAAGAGGATATTATTTTTTTTTTTTTTTTTTTTTGTTTGCGTACACTATTTTTTCCTTTGCCATAACTTCATTTTTTTTTTTTTAAAACAAGAAAAAAAAAATAAACCCAAGATAAGAATGTGTAGAATTTTTATAGTTTTTTGCAAATGTCAAGAACTAGGATTAGGAAGGTGAAGGTGGGAGGAGTTCCATCCCTTGCTGCACATTTTCTTCCTAGATATTTTTTGGCAATCTGCAGAGTTTTTTTGTGGTGGCAAATATCTTGGCCCACCTCAGGCGTAGCTACACCTCTGATGCCAGGCTTCATTGTGGGTCATTTTAATTTTGCCTGAGCAAAGATTTCAGTACAGTTACCTATGGAATTATTTCATTTTTATTTTATTTTCACCTTGTAGAATGTATCTGTATATATCTTCAAACGTATACTTAGTTACCCATATGTATATAAATGACAGAGAGGATTCAAAAGTTTCACAGGTTGGCCCCTGTTAATGTAATGTCCGCAATGAACTTTTTTAATTTTTTCAGACGGCACCAAAGCTGATGTATAATTTGAAGTTTATTTATATATGTCATCAGTGGATACACTCAGTACTAAATGGAGTTTGGGAATAATGAACTATATGCTTGGAGAATTCAGTAATTTTTATTTATCACATTCTGTGGTTTTATATGGTCTGCATACAAGTCCGTCTCTTAATGTTTTTTAGGCCCCCTGCCACTTCTTGGGTCTTTTGCCTCCTGCAATAAAAGCTGATAGTTGTTTTTTTTCCCAGATCACGACTTTGGGTCCCTTAATATTTGAGGCTGCCTGCAGCCACAGGGATGGCAGTAACCATGTGACAGCTCTGCCATGCCCCATGGACAGCTCTGCATAGTACCACTGATACTCTAATGCTAAAAGTAAAAGTAATTCAGTGATATTTGAGAACCATAGCAGCCCTCCTACTTTCCAGCAGTTGGTACCCGCTTCCTTTTGTAAAGATTTATAATTGACATTATATTAAATGTAAATGGGGGAAAAGGGAAAAGATGCAATTGACATTCTGAATAAAACTGTGCAATTTATAGCCTTATGTTGTTGTTGTTTTTTTTAGGGATATGTGTCTGTGTACTGTTTACTGTGTAGTGTGTTATGTCAGGTGAATTATACAAGACACAACAAAAAATGATGAGGATTTTTCCCCCCAAGGGCCTGTTATTAACAGTGTTAAGTCTATAGATTGACTCTGATAGGCTATAGATCAGTGGTTTCCAACCTTCCTAATGCTGCGACCCTTTCATACAGTTCCTCAAAATTATTTTCGTTGTTACTTCAAAACTGTAGAGTAGGCTATATGTTTTTTCTCCGTTGGTCTTAGGGGACCCCTGGGAAAGGGTCGCTCGAACCCCAAAGGGGTCGCGACCTGCAGGTTGAGAATCGCTGCTATAGATAGACTCTGATAGGCTATAGATAAGGCTTTACCACACATAATGCTACTCACCCTTCACCACACACTCAAATACACATCGCACCCTCACCATACACACTGCTCTGACAGCAGCCAACATGGCAAATTGCTATCAAAAGTTAGATTATTTTCAAAATAAAAAATACAACGTATTCACGAAAGAAGCAAGCATTGGCGTACCTTGACAAAATGCCGCACGGGGCTAACTTCCCAAAGTACACCATCATCACACACTTCGTTTATACAATGTTATAAAGATCAACATACAAACTCCTAGTAAGTATGTCAACCGGTCCGTTGACCCCTTACATAACATCCAGATCACCACTGGAAGCATGCATAATGGTGTATACTAAATAAATGGCAACTTACTCAAACTGCAATTAAATCCAGACTACAAGTCACAAGTGTTGTAGTTTGTTTCGCCGTCTACTTACAAGGGGAAGGCCCCGCCCTAACTTATCCTATTTATCAAATAAAAACATCGATGTTGTTTAAAGGGACAAAGTCTTTTTCTGTCAAATAACTTCTTATCATAAACGTTTAGGTACATATGAGCGTGATCAGTGCCGAATTAAGAATATTGGAGGCGCTAACCCCCTCCCCCCATGCAGTCGAAATGTTACCTTCCCCAGTGACTTAGCCTGCTTAGGGGAAGACTGCGATGGGCTGCACTTTGGGGATTATAACATTAAATAAATTGATGTGTGTTTTAGGCGGCACACTTTTGGTAATCTGCCCCGTTCAGCGTTTCGTTACGTACCCCAACGCCACCCCCCCCCCAAAAAAAAAAAATGTGTTTTAGGCGGCACACTTTTGGGAACCCGCCCCGTTCAGCGTTTCGTTACGTACCCCCAACCCCCCCCCCCCCCCCAAAAAAAAAAC